GCTGTAGGAGTGGGTTTGGATTCGGGCACATGGAGAACTTGGAGGTTTCCTTCTGTTCTCTTCTCTTCTCTTCTCTTCTCTTCTCTTATCAGATCTCGGCCCGGTACAAATGGCGTCAGCATGGGTTTTTACCACCTACCACTGGTGGTGGAGTTTCCCCGTGCGCCGGATCCACCGAAAGGTGACCCTTTAGTGGTACTGATCAGTTGCGGGATATATGAGGCCGTACGAGGGTGTACGAGTCTGAATCTTTAATTTTTTCCTTCTCTTCTCGTGTACAGATATGGCAGCCCAGGGGGTTTGCAGCTAGAGAGGGGGATGATGTAATGGCGGCCGGCCAGCGCCGGGTAACCGCCCGGGATATAGTCACTTCGCGGGAGTTCAATTGCACACCAGCGATCATCTTACCTTACAATTATATTACTTCATCACTTATTCTCGTATGCAACCATATCTACTCATACTCTCTTGTACGGAGCCATACTGGCCCGTACTCATCCTTACAAGAACGCATTGCAAGTACGATGACAATAATAGCAGCCTCCACAGTGAGGATAACAGCACATAAAACAAAAATATAATTCATAGAATTGATTATAGACTTGTTCTTCTGTCAAGGATTCAGGGCTCGGGGTTCTAGGCGTAATAAATACTAAAAACCAGATGGCTAGGAAGTTCGAGGGTCGCCTGTTGCTACGAAAGCAATGACTGTATAAAAGAGACTCGATCCAGAATCACTGAGGGTGAGAGATGTGAAAGTTGAAGCTAAATGATTGTTTTATTGATGAGAGAATGAGTAAAGAAACATACTTATCCTCCACCAAACGCCTGGTTTATATACAGTAATTCACTCATTCCATAATACTTCCAAACTCCTGCTCTCTTTGTATATTGCTTTTGCACGATTCTGTGGTTTCCTGTTTGGAACATGTTTTCTTGCTTTTAGTCTTCATTCGAAACCTGATTTCATTCTCGTTGTGCTTTAGCCTCCATTCAAAACCTGATTTCATTCGCATCATTCTTTAGCCTCCATTCAAAATCTGATTTCATTCTCGTCATGATTTAACTTTTATATTAATCACCAATGATCACCCCACCATCGATCGTCACTCAGCACAACTGTAACACAAGGAATATGTCACCGCCCAAGGTGGTCACACCAGAGACTTTGAAACACGTTCCATAACGAACCATATACAATTGATTGATAGTGGAAGGCAATGATGATATAAGGTCTACTGAGTTGGCACTACCAGGAGTAATGGCTTGGATTCGGAGACTTGGATGTGGATTTGGACGATTTCTGACCAATTAGAGGTTCCTTCTCTTCTCTTCAATTCTCTTCTCTCATTGGGTCTTGGCCCAGTTCAAATGGTATTGGCATGGGGTTTTACTACCTACCACTGGAGGTGGTATTTCCCTGTTTGCTGGATCCACTGAAAGGTTACTGTTGAGTGGTACTGATGGGTTGTGGGATTAATGAGGCCATACAAGGGTATATGAGTCTGTACCTTTACTGTTCTCTTCTCATGTACAGATCTGGCAGCCCAGGGGGTCTGCACCTAGAGAAGGGGATAATGTAATGGCAGCTGGCTGATAGCTGGATAAGTGCCCAGTATAAAATTACTTCACAGGAGTGCAATTGCACTCCAGCAATCATCTTGCCTTACAATGATATGACTTCATCACATATTCTTGTATGCAACCGTATCTTCTCTTACTCTAAAGTACGGAACCATACTGGCCCGTACCTGTCCTTACAGGGTGACAATGTTACCACAAGCCCAAATGTGAATTATTCAGTTCATCTCATGGCACTTACCACATTACATCCTCCCAGCCCATCCAGAGTGTCTCCATCCAGCCAAGAGCTAACGCATCCAGGTTGTGTATAGCCAGCCAAGCCAGTCCTGCCAGATTGTTTCCAGCCAGCCAGTATTCTCAACCATCCCATCTGTCCGTCCTCACCTAGGATGGGGACAGGACGGCAAAACGCCATCCATCCTAGGGCAGAATAGACATGGCACTGTCTTTTTGGAGGAGGATGATTAGGATGGTTAGGATGGCCGATGACGGAGTTTTTACCATCCCCGGCCGTCAACTACCGACATCGATGGATTTTGATTTCTCAGTGTATGTAAAACATAATCTCATCAAAACATCCATTTGTAACCCTTGTCCCATGCAATTAGGACTCGATTATCAATCATGATTATAAATTATCTAAATATACTTGAGTGCTAAGCTCGCCACATGATGTGGCTTTGATGCTGCGCAGTAACTGTACCACATCATGTGGCGAGCTTAGCACTCAGTGACATGAGTATTCTGTAGCCGCCCAATGACGGTCGGGATGGTGGATGTCGGCCGGGGACGGTGAAAATGCCATCATCGGCGGACAACGCCCGTCCAGCCGTCATTCATATGCTAGGACGGGACGGTCGGTCTTGGCGCCATTCCATCCGTCCTGGCAAGATCTCGGACGGCACTGCCGTCCCCGGCCATCGGACGGGACGGTTGAGATCACAGCAGCCAGCCATTACCAAGCCCATGCAGATTATCTCCAGCCAGCCAAGAGCCATTCCATCCAGATCACCTCCAGCCAGCTGAGAGCCAGTCCAACCAGCAGCCTATCTAGATCATGCCAGGACTGGACCATGGATTTCTACAGGTCAGGTACCCATCCAAATTCTGCCCGAAGACGGGTTTGGTACACACCCTGGCGGCGGCAAAGCCGCCACCGGTGCTAGTATAGGTATAAGTATCTGCAACTTTTAATAACCAAATGCCAATCGTCCTATATCCACCACTATCTATCACTTAAACCACCTCCCCAATCTCCTCAAAACCCCTTTCTTCCCCAGCTCCGTCCGCCTCTCCTTCACCCCCTCCTTCTCATTCCCTTGCTTCTGCATATTCCAGCATCTACACACAATCTGAACCTTCCGCATCCTCGGCTTTGATCTAACTAGTGTGAAAAACTGCCTCATTTCATCTTTTAGAATCTCGCACAGCTTCAAATCATCAATAGCGACATTGTGATCATCGCCAATACGGCCTAGCTCTTGGGGAAGGATAAGATTTACAAATTCTTCAGCGAGGTGGTCGATTGCGACGTTGCAGGGACGGGAGCGAATGAAGTCGACCGCTTGCAGTAAAATGTCGTTGGTGGCGTCGGTTACTGCGAGTTTGTCGGGTAATTCTGTGGAATCAAGTTCGCCGGGTTTGTCGGTACAAACGGGGGCTGATTTGAGGGGGAGTGGCGCTGGCATGGTGTTTCGTATGCAGAGTGGGAGATGTTTAGGAAATTGAGAGTGAAAGAGGTTAGAGAGAGAGGACCAGGGAGATTTGTGCCTTTATGCGCTCTAGAAGTTAAAGATAAGTAACAGAATTTGCGTATTGTGTTTCTATGGTTCATCTTGAATGATATATGCGTTTGTACGCGCTCATTAAATGAAACTGGGATTTCGTTGATTCTGCGTTTGTAGTAATCGGCGGAGAAGTAGGAGCATTCGGTGAGTCATTTGTTAATTAGATCCCACAGATTAATACCCGCTTTCCCTATAATAACATCGATGAATAAGAACTTTGTCCCACGGGCTTTTTTCTTCTCATAAACGTCGTATGTAGCGCCAACATTCAATTACATTCGCCCCCAGCCCTTCGTGCATGCCCAATGAGTCTTTTCATACTATCTGTGGCACTGACAAGTTACAACTATATTCATCTTCCTCCCGCCATCTAAGATCCCTCATCTTGAGTACAATGACTATGTTTTGAAATTGGGATGTTCTCCAGGTCGGCCCAGTACTTATGATTCGCGTGTGACACCGATACAACGATGTTTCTCGATTGAAGTGAAAGTGAACCACGGATGAAATGTGAAGGATGGTTTGTCTGGATGTAGCGATTTGTGGTGGTGCTTGTTGTTTGGCTGTGTTGGTGATTACGTTGGTAGCGTGGTGAGATATTTGTTGATAACTTGGTTCTATTCGTACAAGAGAGTAGCTGTTGAAGTTGATCATATACGTGGTGTGCAGAACTAGCATAATACACAATACCTCGACCGCCGACCTGAGACTCGAAACATTAGTAGATCCAGTAGGTAATTAAGGAGACGAAATCCTCACGGATTGTAGGGATAAATTCAAGTCAATAGTGCAGAGTGTGGACATACCAGTGCGCATACTCGCACCAAAACCGGTGTGTAAGGTGGAGAGAGTTTATGGGTTCATAATTTTGAAACTCTAGTTCCTTTCATCCGTGTGATCGATGGGGCAGCGGTTAAGAGCCCTGGATGCCGATCTGTGAGCAATACATAATATTTCGGCGCACCCCGGTTCGTGTCCAATGATGTTGACAGAAGTTCGGCCGAAGGAGTTCCGTGATTGCCGGAGGCTCTAAGCATAGAGATCTGGTATCAGTGGTGGAGTTATCTCGACCGAGTGGCTAGTTCCGGATGCGAGCTCAACGAAGCCTAGCTCTACAGCTCTACACAAGATAGCACTCGGGTCTCTGGGTTAGGTGTGCTTTTCCTTCGTATATAAGCCAGCTCTTTTCTCTTCTCTTTGTACAGTAGACAATTAAGAACCTCAGTCTTCCTTCTAGTTGTTCTCATCAAATGAGCGAAGTGAGATCTTCCCATTCTCATAGTCGAGAGGGTGCTACTTTGCGGGTGAGTAGCTGGTAAAAGCCAGCGAACACCTTTTGTTTCTCGCTCTGAATCCTCTTTTATTGTGCTGGGCCTTTTGCAGAGTTGGGACCGAACGGTGATAAACACTTCCGGCGTTTCCATGTTTATTAGTCCTAGTTACCTACTCCCAGATTAAATAATACTCTCGAAGGATTACCATCGGATATGTCAATCCAAGGACTGATTCTAATTCAGGATGACCCAATGTTTATCGCCTATACGGCCAATTCGAGTGGCACTATCAGTCATGGCGGCCAATCTGCAAATTTGTCTCAAAACGTGGTAAAATATGTACAAAAACAAAAGATACACTGGACGGGATTCGAACCCATGTCCTCACCTATACCCACAAAGGAGTGATGGGAAGGTGAGATGCTAACCACTACACTACCAGTATTTCAATCATATCTCATGGCACGGAATGGCGATTGTGGCCGGATTCTTGGTCGTTCTGAGACCTCTGTGAGGTGCTGGTTTATTTGCTCATTTTATCAATTTTTGTGTGTTCACACAATCAGATTACTCTCGTGTGCAGACTGTTTCTCCGTTTAGTGAGCTTACGAGCGTTGCGGAAAAAGAATGGGAAAGAGGGTGCATTCAGATACCGAGTCTCAATCCTATGTCTAATTGGATACAGATTCATTTTCTCGTCCGAGCTCTTTCGGACACCATAATGTATACAGCCAAATTACCAATACGACATAACAGAGTCGTTAGTTTCCAACTCATCTTTTTCCAACTCGAAACAACCATATACTACCCACATTGGGATTCACATCAACAGTTTCTAATTAATACTCACTCCTCCTGCTCAACAGCAGAATGCAATAACCGATCCTTCAACTTCCGATTTCTCAATTTAAACCCCTCGCGACAGGTACTACAAGTTACTCTTCCTTCTAAAGAATCTGGACGCACCCAGTCCCTGCAACCTTTACATTTTTTGAAACCATGTTTAATTTTTGCTGCGACTTCTGCTTCAGTCAGTGCTTTTTTTCTAAGCAGAGGTAACCCTTCCCGCTTCCGAATTTGGTGTCTATTGACGCTCTCCCTGTTTTTCTTCCGACACTCTACACAAGACCTATGGCCCTCCAACCAATTCTCACCAACCTCCCATTTCTTGCACCGATTGCATTGTTTGAGGTCTTGCCGAAGTTTCTCATCCCTTTCTGCTTTAGCCAGCTGACGCGGTATTGGCACCTTGGACGACTGCTGACCCTGAATTCTATGTGTGGCTAAGATAGTTGCTTTGTTCAATTGTGCTTCTTCGCTCAGGGGTCCCTTAAGCAAGTTTGTATGTTGTTGTTCGGGGTGATGGACAGGAGGGCAATGGTCTATTTGGGGTGTCTGGACGAACAACAGCTCGGGTGTTTCGGAAGGTGTTTCAGGGACTAGCTGGTACTGAGACGACGCCGTAATAGTAATTGGTTCTTGTATGGAGTGGTGAATCGAGTCAGTGCTTTGGTGATGGACGGTAGATGCCATCAAACCGCAAAGTTGTGGCTCAGAATTCAGGTCCTCATCCAAGGGTACTGCATCGCTCGGTGGTGTTGCTTGTTGTAGCTGGCTTGATAAAGCTTCGCAACATGTGATAGGTTGGTCAAGTAACTGCTCTGACGCCAATTCTATTGCGTTGACCTCAAGGTGTTGGCTAGGAGGCGTGATTAGAGAACAAGGTTGTGCCTCAAGACTTATGTTCTGATCTAGCGATACCGCTGCGTACGTTGGTAGTGTTCCTTGTTGTTGCAGCTGTATCACCGAATCTTCAGGATATTTAACTGGTCGATTTAGTAACTGTGGTGACGCCAGCAATACCGCGTCGACGCTAATGTCTCGATAAGGAGATATGACGAGTCCAGGGGGGTATTCACCAGGGAGATGTGATTGATGTCTGGATTCATTTTCGTCCAGTTGCTTGACCGGTGCACAGGCAGGTATTACTGGGGGCAAAAGATCTTGAGATTCCAGCTCAGGGAATATGTCCTGAAGCCACGAGGCCGTTTCTTGCGTAACAGAATCAAACGATGGCATTCCATGTGCTTGCGTTGTTTGTTGTACCTGGTTTTGATCATTCGGTGCTGTAGATGAGATAGATGTAACCAATTCTTGTAGAGCCGCAGCAGCATCAGGACCATACGGACACGCTCCACGTCCCGGCAACGTAACTATCAACCCTCCGAATGGATAATGTGTCTCTAGCCAACTATCATCCGTTCCATGTCGACTTGAGGGTACCCCGACATCATGCATGCTCGTAGGAGATACAATATCTGTCGACCCCATTAATGAAAATACCATGATCCTACTCGATTACGCCCACGTCAGATATGTATACCATGCGATTTGTGGGATTGGTCGGCGATAGTTGAGCTGTAGACTTACCTGCCATCAGAGGTTGCAAATTGCAATAGCCCACTGGAACGATAGCTCAGTGGGCGATCCACCAGTGTGCGGATGTGACAAGCACTAAACTACCACTGAGCAAACAGAGCTAGTGCAGTTTTCTTTGGGGTTTATATATATTCACCTTTTAGGTGTGAGGCTCTGATATCAAGTTGCTTTGGATTGACATCATTCCGAGGAGTATTGGAACTTTTTATTGGCCGTCGCAACCCACTTGGGCTGATGCCGCTTGTAATAAACCCTTTTCGTTCGAGCTAGCTCTCCTAGTTCAGCCCATTTAACTAGTGGAATTGGGGCAGACTGATAGTCTCGCGCTTGCCACCGAACTGCGCTGCGCGAACTGCACGATTACAACCACTGCGTACCATCGGAATATCGACGGATGAACTCCTGCACTTTCTTCATCAATCGTCTTTACCGCATTCGGAAATGCTTCCTCGTTAGTGAAGTTGGCTAAAGTGAGCCCAAGAGAGTGTGATGATGGATTGTTAAACGACATGCGGGGTGAATGAACTCTGCATGGTAACAGTTATCCCAGAATTCGAAGGTGGCAGGGGCATACTTCATAGTACAGGATATTGCCATTGCTTTGGTCCCCAGATTTTCTTTTGTTTCTCTCTTGGATCTTGCAAATGTTTTTTTTTGCGGAAACAAGATTATATTCCCTTTGAAATTCATCGTCTTCAGTGGCCAAAAGGACTACCTTACAGCCACGTAGGTATTCCGGAAATTCCTACTAACGTACAAACTATTGAGCGCAAAATCACAAATTTCTTCCCCAGCAAAGTATCCTCATTTACTCCGGATCATTGCTCACTTCTTCTTCATCGAATTTCAATTATTGCCCTTTAGAACTCGCTTGCCGCTACCACCTTTTGAAACCCCGTTCCTCTTTCTGTAATCCCCAGCACGAACCCTGCAAGAGTTGCAGGTCTTCTTGCCACAGAACTCGACTGCAGCCTTGCTTTTGCTACACATCGAGCAGCGGGTGCGGTTAGCCTCCGTATGTTCAACCCCAGAAGAACCCGTGTTACTGTGGCTGCGATGGTCAAGAATAGTGGTAGCGATGAAACTAAGATCAATTAAGCCTGTCTGGATTGCACAATCGGCAGTAGTGCTTGCTGCAGAAGGCGGATTGTTCGGCATGCGCAAGAAAACGCCATTGAGGTCTGTCTGCGTTGCCGCATCTACGGAACGTCCAATCCTCGGGAGTACCATTGTCAGATTGGATTCGAGAGGGCGCCAGTCTGTCTGAGATTGAAGTTCCGGATCGACTACGGACATAGGCGACGAAAATGTAGCATAAGGGGAGGACTGAGGCACCATTAGAGGAGGATGCCCATGGTTCACGCCCTGTATGTAATCAATGTCAGCTCGAGCTTCAGTTTGCCTGTCGGAAAGCGAGTAGTGGGGACGAAATGCTAACATCAAATCCGAAGCCTTTGCTCATCATGGTGTTCTCTGCCATATTTCTCGTGCTTTGAAGTTGATATGAGTGTTGAAAATGGACAGGTTTGGGAAGAAGTGCTACTATTTGTTGTATCGCTTTCGGCTGTGTATGTGAGGATGAGTTTGTCGCAGCGACTTGGTGGTGTAAGCGGGTCAGGCGTGGTGGGTAGATAGCCGAGTTCATTCCTCGCAGTGGGCCTTCGGCATCTTCTACTTCACCTGGGAGTTAACACAACACATCTAATGTGCTCCAGCAACACAACTCCTTTCTTGTCGATTAGCCTGCAATCTTCGCGCAGGTCTTTTTTTCTTACAGCACACTGGTACCTAACTCAATGTAGCCCATCCAGAGAATAACCTGCTCTACAGCGCCATCATTCTACAACTTTTCACAGCAGTTCAACAGTCTGTTCTCTTAGATCGTATACTCAGCGCAATCGCCCACAATTCGATATCGATCCATCCCACCTGAAATCCCACGTGTATGCCGATATATCACACACTCTGTTGTATATCCTCTCAATACACATTTACCTGCAAATATACCCTAGTGCAACCAACATTCCACGGCTAGGGCTAGTTTACAAGGTGAGAAAAATGTATGGAGGGTGCAGATGTTTGAGCAGTTGTCCAATCACTGCCAGCACCACAAGGCTACAGGCTACAGCGAGACGGCACGCATGATGGGATGTTTCTGTGGAACGAGGAAAAGAATTACCATTGAGGTCTGCTGTAATTAGGAATAAGAACATCTACTAATACGCAATTTCATCAGAATTTGTTAGTGATTCCTCTTTGAAGGAGCGAAGTGGCAGCAGAAGGAATAAAGTTACAAACACCGTTTCCTGGCCCGAATAAATCTTTCGAAGGCCACAACCTATTATCCATAGACTTATAAGCTACGGAGTAAAGCAGGCACGTGGTGTTGGAGCTGATACTTTGGGCCAGCGGAGGTATATATATTGCTCCGGTTCTGAACGGGTTGAACCTTAACTCATCTCTGATGGTGTTTTACAGCAATGTCTAACCTCTCGTAAATATTTGAACAGTCATTAGCAGCATCCAATTGATCAATTTGTAATCATAAGTTGGTCAAATGCTACAACTGAGAACTCTAAACCCCAACTAGCTTGATCCGCCGGCAGAGCTCATCCTCGACAGTGAAATGTGCGTAAACACTGTAGACATCCGCTAGATTAGAATACCCTACCTTCTATTCGATTTCATAGGCGTTGTTGAATGATATGAGCCAAGTACAATATGTCTCTGTGAGCTCTATTTATTCTTCTGTGCTACATAGTAAATGTGGTTTCTTCTGACTATCCATTGATCTATTTAGCTTTTCCCAAGTATTCCCAAACTCCTTCCCATTGGCTTGTCACCTCCTGGCTCAACGATGGATACTGCTCTTGTTTTAAGTTGTTGCCAGAATGGCCCGTGTCTCTTTGTATTGATTACATCATGATTTAGAATGCTCGAGCCATGTGCAATTGGGCGAATACTTTCGTGTCTTCCTTCGGTTGAGCACGGAAATATCCGACTCCG